TATAGGCTATTTAAACAAAAGTGAGGTGTCTGGGGAGCTAATTAGGAAGGAACAAACCTTCGGAGTCTTTACTTTAACAACATTCAGCAAACATATGATTTACTGGACTCAAGTCAGGACTGAATTCAACAGCATGGTAGCATGCACTTGAGCAGAGATGGATTGGCTATGTATTGGGCCAGAAATAAAAAGAGTGCAAGATAGCATGTGACACTAGAGGCTGGCTGGTGGTGAGGGCTCCCACATGAGAGATGCAGAGTCTAGTCCCCATGCTGTATGTCTACAGTAAAACAATTTAAACAGAAGAGATTAAGGGATCTACACATCAGAATGCCCCAAGTGGTCTTGAGACCATCTTTAAAATCCTTTTGCCCCACATCAGGCAGAGGGGGGAAACTGAATTTGGGTCTTGAACATTCTGGCTGAATACTCGAAACACTGGATTAATAATCATAAGGTGGGTAGTGGCACCTCTTCTTCCATCCAGATATTGAGTGGGAATCAGTCTGGTAGGTAAGTTCAGAGCAAAAAGCCCCCTGGGTGAGACAGGTGCTACTTTACCTATCCTTCCCAAATTTGTGCATCACTTAGGGGTTAAGGTGGGAGACAGGTGTTTGGATGCACTGAGTGAGGCAGCAGCATGCATGATCAGAGCCTGATTCTTAGGGGCTGAGGGAACTTTTACAGTGGAAATTTTGGCACCAAGTGAGTTCAAGCAACTACAGGGTTAGGTGGCAGTTGAGCAGTGGTTTTGTGGATCACAATGACTCTTAATATTGAGACTTAGGTGCCCAAGTACCTTTGTGATTATGGAGTTTTGTCTCTATAAAAGAGGGATGATAGTTCTATGATTTCTTTCACAGGATGCTAGGCAAGTCAGTTAACTCATACCTGTTCAGTGCTCTGGATACAGAAATGATGAAGAATTGCTATTGCTGCTGTGACAGATATAGCACTTTCCTGCTATATCCTTGAGAGAGTTTTTAATAAGTATATTTGGAGTCTATTGTATTAAATTAATGGGTTATACATCTTGGCAGGGGGTTAGACTAGATGACCCTTGTGGTCCCTTCTAGCCCTGTGATTCTATGCCTTTTCGTGGGTCAGGATTGCATATAACTCCTTGTGGGTCGGTGTCTGACAGATGTGAGATTTAAGAGTTCAAACAACTATATTGAATATTGTGTCTGGAAAGAAGATACTTTTGGAACAAGAAGCCTCAAGTGTTTATCCTAAGGGTATATTAAATGGGAGATGTGCCCAAATTTCCCACTTCTGATTATGCAAAAACTTTGCCTAGCCTTTCACCTTGTAGAATGAGGATCACCAAAGCTGGAAAAAACCCTCTGTTCTTTCAATTTTCTTGACAAAGAACGCAATTGCAGTTTGGACATTCCTCAAGTTTTGTTGGAAAAAAGTCCGTTTTTCCAACAAAACTCTGTAGTGTAGATATATCCACTATATGATGAGACAGATCATGACTCCTTTGCTCTTTTCCTAATACTACTTGATTTAAATATATGTCTAAATATACAGCAATGACTGAAAATGAGGCCTAAATTGAGTAAGCTACAATTATTTAGGATAGCTCATTTAGTATGTAGAGGTGGGAGACTAGATATTGTAGGGGATTGGTATTAGCTCCTTCTTCCCTGGGTCCTCAGTTAAAATCCAGACAGGTCAGCAGTGACAGGCAGTCATTACTATTTGAAGGCTATGTGGTGACGTGTGAAATAAGTAGGTCTTAATTCAACTATTAGAAGAAAATGTGCATATAGCAAAATTAAAGATAATATTGACAAAGTACAGGGCAAAGACTGAATGGCAATGGAGACTAAACTACCTTCTCACATGGAGAACTGGTCACTCCAGGTTAAGACTAGGCACATTAGTGGAGTTTACACTTGTCTTTTCTGTTGATAGGGGTTTTCAGGACTATCAATGAAGCCCTTTTACAAGGAAAATCATATACAGTTTAAACAGAGAGTAAAATTTAAAAAAATGGAACATGTATCGCAATTAACACTGGATTGTACCATAAACAATACAAGTGAAAATAAAAACCCCAATTCAAGATCTCTCTTCTGAGATTCTTTCCTAGTGGTTGCAGAGGCATAAATAGAGTTTTGGATCATGAGGATTAGGTTTGCCTGCCAAACATGAGAAAACATTCTTTTACAAAATGTACTCAGGTTGTAAATTCCAGTACTTCTCAGTATGCCCTGTGTTATCCCCTTTGCCTTTACATTCCAGGCTTTTTGGGGTAGGCACTGACTTCATTTTGTGTGTTATGCAGCATTCTTGATGGATAGCAAATAATTAATAGAATAAAAGAGTAAAAAATGATAAAAACATTTTAGTTCCAAAGTTACCCTGAAAGGGAAACTTTGATAATAATGTCATGTATTGAAATACTTAATTAGGTTGAACAACTACGTTTTATTAGGATTTGGCGCTTGGTTCTCCGCTCAATTACACTGAAGTAAAATGTAAAAGGAGAATATCAGAGTGAAGAAAAAGCTTTTGATTTTATTCAAACTTGTTACAACTTTAAATTCCTAAGGCAACTTGGGCATTTGTAGGACATATTCTTTCCCAGAGCTACAATTTTTTTATTGTATGGACTTATTTTAAAGTATTTAAAGATGCATCGAACGCCTAAGTGTCTTTCACTTAGCTAATAATCAGAATGGAACTGTTGAGATTTGAGTCTAGTTGTGTGCTTCTTGGTGGTTGGTTTCCACAGCTGGCCCGAACATTCCCCTCTTGCAGCATGACCCTGGTGGACTGGAGCAGCCCCCCGCCACACAGTGCAGCACGACCACAGCAGGCCTTAGCAGCCACTTGCCCGCAGAGCCAATTTTTTTTGTTTTACCATTATATATTCATGATTTTGAAAAAAAATGCCTTTCTTTATGGTTGTTGTGTGAATGATCCAAACAAGGGAAGGTAGTTATAACCCTGAATCCATTGAGGCAGATTCCTGATATCTGTGTGATTTCAGGATTTAGACCTGACTATCCAGGAAGAATGGTGAGATTACAAAAAATGCTATCCAGTAAATAAAATAAAATAAAAATACTTGGGGAACACATTAAAGAATTGCACAAATGTGCCTCTTACAATGTACATGATGGCATTGTTGCCTCTTTGAATTTCAAACATACAGGCTGTGTCTAGACTGGCAAGTTTTTCCGCAAAATCATCTGCTTTTGCGGAAAAACTTGCCAGCTGTCTACACTGGCTGTTTGAATTTCCGCAAGAACACTGACGATCTCATGTAAGATTGTCAGTGTTCTTGCGGAAATACTGTGCTGCTCCCGTTCGGGCAAAAGCCCTCTTGCGCAAATCATTTGCGCAAGAGGGCCAGTGTAAACAGCACAGTACTGTTTTCTGCAAAAAAGCCCCGATCGCGAAAATGGCAATTGGGGCTTTTTTGCGGAAAAGCGCGTCTAGATTGGCCATGGACGCTTTTCCGCAAAAAGTGCTTTTGCGGAAAAGCGTCCTGTCAATCTAGATGCGATTTTCCAAAAATGCTTTAACGGAAAACTTTTCAGTTAAAAGCATTTTCAGAAAATCATGCCAGTGTAGACATAGCCACAAGGTATCTGCCTGCTATGGAAACTCAGAGGTTGAGAGAAGCAGGACAAATCCTTTATTTTGTTTGTACAGTGTTTAAAATAGTGGGTCTCTGGGCACTACCACAGTCTATATAAAAAGATTCCAGAACTGTTTCTCTGAAGCCTGAAATATCAGTTGTGTCCGTTTGAAGCAATGGAAACCCCTACAAGCGTAGCAGAGACATTTTTGTTTAGAATATCACCATGTTAAATAATCATTAGGATTCACAGTCTGCTAGCATACAATTTTTCAGCCTTTTTTTGGCTTTTTATACTTATATGATAGCACAGGCCTTTACTTAACTCATTAAAGAAAAGAATTAAAATGGATGTTTTGAGCATCTTCCTCATCCATGAAAAGATTCTCCAGTCAGAACTTAATGAGCAATGCACACAGCTGCTGGAAATGGGGATGAAGCAAAGGACTATTAGTCCCATTTTTAAACAGAACAGGCCATGCTACCACCAATTCTGAGAACCTACTCCAGGACAGTACTGTGAAGAGGGGCCAGGGTAGGATTCCTTTTGGCCTCTGACCAGAGTTGGGTGGCATGCTGGTAGAGTCCCTTCCCTGCTAGTATGTGTGTTGTTTGGGGGGTAAACCTGAGTGAGAGGCACTGGGACCTAGGACACAAGGTCGCCAATGGCTACAGCATTCAAATCTGACCCTGGCAGGGCTTCCTCCCCTCTGTCTCTCTTGCTCCCTGCACACAAGGAGGATTGAGGTCCAGCTCAGGCTCTTAGCTGCGATGCAGGGCAGACAGGTACCAAAAAGAAACAAGATCTGAGCCCAGGCCCTGGGGGAGCTGCTTCCTTTGGGGACAGAGGGGCTGCCCGTCGCCCTGGCCCGTGCCATGAATCACAGGGCCAAAAGGGGAGAGGCTCTGTTACGGCTCCAGCTCCGCAGCAGCACAGAGGGTGAGGGCGGGGCGAGAGACTTGCTTGACTTCGCCCTGGCAGCTCTAGCACCCGTCTCGTTCGGATCCGCTCCCCCGACGGCAGTAGCCTGGGGGCAGGGCTCTCCTCCCCAGCCCAAAGCTGCTTCCCGGGGCCGGCCGAAGCCGCAGGCCTCCACGCGGCCTAGGCAAGGGGCCCCCTGCCCGCCCACGGGTGAAGGGAAGCCAGCCTCGGTCCCATGACAACGGCGCCACTCGCGTAGCTTAGCAACAGCACCTCGACCAGCGCCAAGCCCGCTGCCGGCCCCAGCCCAGCTCCGCCTCTTGCGCGGAGAAGCAAGTCGATGCCACGCCCCTGAGGGGGGGGGCGGAGAATTCTCTTGCCCTGTCCCACCATCCCACCTCCTGCGCAGAGGGTAAAGAATCCCCGTAGGGCCTTGCTCGCTAGACAGAGCAGAGGGCGGGGAATCCCTTCTTACTCCGCCCACTGGGGGAAAGGAGAGGGAGGAGCCAATTGCGGCGCCCCCTGCCCTGTGACCTTTCACCCCACGGCCCTTAGTTACCGCGCAGAGCGTCAAGAAGGGACTGAACCATCAACGCTCTCAGAATTCCAGACGAAGCTATTATTGCGCAGGGACAGGGGTGGCTGGCAGGGCGCCGGGACAGATTGCCTAGCGAGCCTCCCCGTTGAGGAGCGGTCGCTGACTCCCCGCCCCATTTCTCTCTCGCTCTCCTCCCGTCCAGCCTCGCGGTGGTCTCGCCCAGACTCGGTCTTAGCGACAGCGGCCGCATCACGGGAAGATGGCGGCTCCGGCCCTTGTGCCGATACCGGCTTCGTGAGCGCGGCACCCGCATCCCGCCCCGCCGGGCGCAGGGATCATGTCGGACTCGGAAGAGGAGAGTCCGGACCGGCAGCTCAAGCTAGTAGTGTTGGGGGACGGCACCTCCGGCAAGGTCAGTGCCGGGGCCCGGCTGCTCCGGCTCCTTGGGGCCGGGCTGCACCCAGCACTTCCCAGCCGGGAGCTTCTCTGCCCCCTCCCGCCGCGGAATGTCCCGCCGGATGCAGCCCCCGCCCCGCCTTCTCATTCGGCCCCACTAGTCCCCGGGTAGCAGCGCGTGTGCGGATCGCCCAGCTCAAGCAGCCGAGCCGCCGCCCCCGTCGTCGCGACCTGTGGCCAGGGACTGACCCGGGGACCGGTGGCTGGCTCCTAGCAGCTGTCCTTAACCACGTCCCAGCAGGGAGACCAACCAGCTCGCCGGATGCAGCCCCCGCCCCGCCTTCTCATTCGGCCCCACTAGTCCCCGGGTAGCAGCGCGTGTGCGGATCGCCCAGCTCAAGCAGCCGAGCCGCCGCCCCCGTCGTCGCGACCTGTGGCCAGGGACTGACCCGGGGACCGGTGGCTGGCTCCTAGCAGCTGTCCTTAACCACGTCCCAGCAGGGAGACCAACCAGCTCGGACTCGAAGCCCACGGGGGGTGGCGGGGGTGGAACAATCACACCATAAGCTGTCTTGCCAGCTGGGTCTCCAAAGACCTCTGGGGGAAGCGAATTGCAGAGAGGAAGGTTCCTCGCTGTGCGCCGCAGGAGCGCAGCCCTCTGAGAAGGACAGCAGCAGGGGAGGCTGCTGTGGCCGACTGCATCTGTCATGTGGGGCGCAAGGAGTAGTGGTGCTGAGCAGCCTCCTATTCCCGTCTGTCCCAAGAGAATCGGCTCCAATGGGCAAACTAGGAATTTTAAGACTGGCTGACTAGTCCCTAATAAAGGCAAAATATGATAATGCAATCACTAATTGCCTTTGTGGTTTTTATTTTAACATTAAAGCCAATTTCCCTTATTGTTCCCACATTTTCAGCATGTTGCATGCTTTGTATTGACAGGGAATAGTTGCATCATAGAAGTTGGCAAAAGCGACAGGTTTTGGGATCTGGATAGGCATAGGGAGGAACTTGGGGTCTTGGCAAGGCATAAAGAGGGAATCTAGAGTTCTGGGACAAACACAGTAGCAGGATGTGGCTGCTGAAATAAGTTTTGTATGTTAATATTCAAATTGTATTCTTAAGGTTTCAAAACTACAACATTACTGACCAGAATGACTATCATGGTCAGAGCTGTTATTTCCGGGTATTGGAAGTCACCAGTGTGGTGTTTTATTTTGGTTCACATTTTCAAAGTTTTCTTTCTGTGAAGGCTAGGAATGTAATTAACAAGTGGAATGGTTACAGAATTGTGGATTACCTGAGATCCATAACCAGCCTTGAGCCAAATAAGGCAAAGCATAGGTGACTATGCACCACAGAGGATAAGAACTCTTATTTACTAGCAACAAAAAAGTGATCAGCGTGTACACTTGCATCTTACAAAATGATTTCTACCCATGGAAGCTTATGCCCAAATAAATCTGGTTCTCTTTAAGATGCCATGGGAGTCCTCATTTTTGCAGTGTATGTATTGTTATGCACCCATCTGAATGTGTTCATAAGATATGCCTGAAAATCTCCATCATGAATGTGAATTTCAAAAGTTCAACTTTTTCTTTGTTACTGACATTCTAGTAGGAAATTAAAGTTTGGACACAGAAACACTAGTTTACTTATGATTCAGGTGAAAAACCAAGACTTCATATAATTTGCAGGTGTTGGAAAATCTGCTTTTCATTGATAAGTATAAAAATTCTTTGTGGTGGGGGAAAAAAAGCATGTGACTAAATGCAGACTTTACTCTCGCATTTACAAAAAAAAAAAGAGTTTCTAGCTGTAGTGGTTGTAAAGAAAACCTTCTGTGCCCTGAAAGAAGTGTTATTTTTGAATCCGTGGACAAATAACTCCAAGTCACAATGTAATGAATGTATTATAAATGCTTGAGAGAGTTTTGCTTATAGCTATCCAAGTATACAAACCAAACAAAGTCCTTTTTACTGTTGCTATTCAGCATCTTATGGCAAGACCCCTTAACATATCTGGATTTACAAGCATTGGTACATTTTGATGTTGTTTTTCCCTGATTGCATCCTATATATGATTCCCTGGATCCTGTGCTGTGGCTGGAAATCCTATGAGTGACATTCAGATGTTTTTGCTTCTGTGAAAATTACATTGATGGGAGCACTTTCCTCACACTTTCTCTAGAGGGTGTTATTATAAGGGCTTCTTCAGCCATATCCAAAGGCTCAGTTGCAACTTTTGGCCTGGCAGGAAAATCTTGGAAAAGTAAAAGAGGTCTGATAGAATGAGGGGGAAAAATTACAGCAGTGAATCTAGTTAAGCCATCTCCAAATGCACCTGAAGACTAACCATTTGAGTTCCCTCTTCTGTGTTGTTACTTGTTCCTTCTGTTTCTTAAAACTGTGTGGCTACATCTACGCTGACGTGTTATCACGCAAAAACTCTTCCAAAAGAGAGCGTCTACACTGGCATATGCTTTTCCGCAAGAGAAGTGCTTTTGCGCAAGAGCATCCATGCCAGTGTAGACACTCTCTTGTGCAAGAAAGCTCTGATGGCCATTTTAACCATAGGGCTTTCTTGCACAAGAAATTCATGTTGCCTGTCTACGCTGGCCTCTTGCGCAAGAACAGTTGCGCAAAAGGACTTATTCCTGAACGGGGGTGTCAGAGTTCTGGTGCAAGAAGCCTTGATTTCATACATTAGAACGTCAGTTTACTTGCGCAAGAACACGTGGCCAGTGTAGACAGGCAGAAAGTTTTTGCGCAAGAGCAGCCGCTTTTGCGCAAGATCGCGCCAGTGTAGACACAGCCTGTGTTTATACATTTTTTCAGCTTCACCCAGCCACCCTCTTATGCATGTTTCTCATTCAGCCTCCTTTGTGCACAAACTCAGCCCACATTCACTGTGCACATTCCTCTCTCTGCAGGAACTATGCTCTTCAGTCAATGGAAATTGGAATGGGAATAGTGGCAGAAGATATTTCCTCATTCCCTCTTGAGAATCCAGAGCTTCATATTTTCTTTTTCTTCCTCTTGGACAGCAGTGGCAACACTGATTTCCTGCCCCTTGAGGATTGGTGATTCGGCCAGCTGATAAGAAGGCACCAAACTTACATGTGTCTTCTGGTGTCATGCCTGCGAGAGAGGGGGAAGATTTCAGACTCTGTGGAACTGCTGGCAGTAGCCTAAAAAGAAAACTTCAAACAGTTCTGTGACAGTTCCAGTCCATGTTTCCATTTCTCCTCCCAAGTAGTGGCCCAATTCATGAGGCAGAGAACAGTGACTTACTCCCATTCACTTGTATGTTTAAGGCTGTGATTTTTGGCACAGAAAAAATCTTATGGTAGAGGTATGGAAGGGGGCAAAAGACATGGGAAGGTCACTAAGTGTATTATTTTGCTACATAAACCTACACAAGAGTACAGTGAGACCTGGAATGGAAGGTTGGAGAGTGAGCCCACTAGCATTCAGCACACAGATTTGGCCCATCCATCCATCCCTCTGTCTCTCTATGGTATTGGGATGGGCTAAACCTGAGTGGCAAAGTGGCAGGGTAGCAAGGGAAATAGAAAAGATTCAGGATCGCTAGGGAATCTAAATCAGGTTGGATTGACAAGGAGTGGAATTGCTGCTGGAGGAGAGGATGGGCAACAGGATGATAGAAAGGGAGGAGCGAGTGATAGACATACAAAGACACAGACTAGAAGAAAAACCAAGTAATGGAGAAAATAAGGAAAGATTAAAATTTTAAACAAGTGCTAAGAAAACATTAAAATGAAAATATTAAGAAAACAGGGTAAACAATGCACCACATGAAGGGAAAAATGGTGATTAAAAAGGGTTGAAATTAATGAAACAAAATTTATGAAAGCAGATTAAACCAGATGACTGAAAAGAAATCTGAAAACAGAAGAGGAGATTTTGTGTTAGGCAAAAATACACAGTAGTATAAGGGTGCATTTACCTAGCACCCTTAGCTCAAACTAGCTTATTTTGTAATTTGGGGCTGTCTACACAGTACCAAATTTAAAAATAACTCGCTATTCTGAAATTCCCCTCAACCCTTGTGGAATGAAGGTTTCCGGGATGTCGGAATAAACTGCCTATTATTTTGAAATCTATTTCAAAATAATGGGCTGCTTTAATCAATGTGGAATAGCATTTCAAGATACTTCTGGTATCCTGATATAGCTCCGCAGTCTAGACGTATTCTGAGAGAAGACTTTTTTTTATAAGAAGGAAGAAGATGGAAAGAGAAAAAGGAGCAAAACTTAGCACCCATACAGTTTTTGTCAAAACCCTCTGGAAACTAAACCAAACTTTTTAAAGATTAGTGACATTAATATAGATTGGAAAAAACAGTATCAGTCTCTGGATGCTGCTTCTACATCTTGCTACACATTCATTGGTTTGCATGTTGAGAAATGTGACAATTGTGAAACTAACAAACACAGTAGGTGTGTTCTGCTGCTGCTTGGGAAAGATGTGTCTTTGGCTGTGTCTAGACTGCAGGATTTTTTCGAAAAAAATAGCCTTTTTTCGAAAAAACGTCACCTGCGTCTAGACTACAGCCGCGTTCTTTCGAAATTAAATAGAAAGAACGCGACTTTTCTTTTGATGGAGGCACTCCTCATTTCACGAGGAAGAATGCCTTTTTTCGAAAGTGCTCTTTTGAAAAAAGGCATTCTTGAATGCAAACATGGCTTTTTCGAAAGAGAGCATCCAGACTGCCTGGGTGCTCTCTTTCAAAAAAGCAGCTTGCTTTTTTGAAAGTACTGCTTGCAGTCTAGACGCTCTTTTTCGAAAGAGGCTTGCAGTCTAGGCGTAGCCTTTCTGTGGAACTAGGTCCTGGAACTATTCATAGGCAAGGAGGTCTCGGAAAAATAAAAGCCATGGGAGGGAATAGAGCAGCAGAAATCTACTTTCTCTTTCTTTACTAGGAGGATGGAGAAAGAATAAGGTAGTCTCAGCTATTCAAATGCTAGGAGGCTTCAGGGCTGAAGATAAAGTACACTACAGTTCTCTTTCTCCCTTACAGTTGGGTGGGACTTCAAATTATCTGACCTGTACTATCAATAGGTTGATACAAAAGATGGAGTACCTGAAATATGTCCTGCATAGGAATCCTAAAAGCCTCTTCCCCTACTTCAGTTCTGCAATGGGCTTCTCAACTTCATTGCTTTTTGATCTTTCTAGTGTGTCTATTTTTCCCTTCCTCTCTTTTTATTTTGAATTGGCCCATGGGTAGTGAGACTGTAGAATTTGAAAATATAGTCTTGGTGATTAACATAATTTTAGACTTCGTTGTTATTGATCTCTGAAAAAGTAAATATTGGTATACTCATCACATGACTCTTTTCAGCCAATAATGAACTAGAAATTCCTCCTTAGCTCTAAAAATGTTTAGCTTTTATTGCCTCACAACCCACCTAATACTTTATACTTATGTGGCGTTTTTCATTTCAAGATCTGAGTGTTTTATAAACATGAAATTTCACTCAACTACTATAATGTAAATTTCTATCATAGTCTCTATTTTGCAGATGGAGAAATTAACAGAGTCATATTCAGGTTGCGTACCTAGATAGTGAAAATAAATAGGTTGTCTATAAACATCTGCCATTTTTTTTCATTTAAGGGACAGTTTTTCATTCATGGGTCACAGTGGAATGGAAAGGCCATAAAATTCAAACTATAAAATGATTGGTAAATTATGAATAAACAAAATTTTAGATCAGTGCTTTTATAAGCTACATTGTTTTTCAATGAAAAGTTTTCCATATTTTAGTTACTCCATAACCATTTAAAAAACTAAGGTGTTTCCTGCCCTACAAGTTCTCTGACATTTTGTGCACTTAGCATGAAACTTAGTTATCTGGTACTGGCATAGAATGTGATCCAGATGGGATTGTTACTGTAAATAGAGAGCTGACATGATTAACTGGAAGGGTGAGATGAGAGTGGATACAAATTAATTTTTGGTTGATAATGAATTCTCAGTGGCTTTGGTAAAGTGGAAACTTTTAATATAAGACCTAATGGCTGGATCCAGAGATAACAGCCAAGTCCCATTGATTTTTCAAAAGCCAGGTTCACACTAAAGGGAAAGGTTGAATCAAGATACACAACTCCAACTCTGTTAATTATGTAGCTGCAGTCGACTTAACTTGTTTCGAGTTTCACTGTTGTCCCCATAGCAAGAGGCCAATGGGAGCAAATGCTCCCAACGGCTTTCCTTACTCCTTTCAGAAGCAGAACTAACAGCTACTGACGGAGACACCGTCTCAGTTTGGTTTAACAAATCTTAACTAGACTCACTAAATTGAACCCTTGTAAGATCAGTTGTGGCAGGGTCAATCTTCTGTTTAGTGAAGATATGGCCAAAGAGATTTAAAGTCTTAAGCCACATAGACACTTGTGAAAAATTTACCGTGTAGGACAGCCTTTGGAAAGTACCTGCTCTTTTCAAATGCCCACAAAATGCCTGGTAGGAATTCATGACTGACACTGTCTATATATCATTGCATAAACCATATGACCTAAACTATAAAGCTAACATTTGTCAGCCAACAACTTTTTTCAGACATAGTCTGATTTTTTTTGTTTGGTCTGTCTGTAAATGTATGTGTGGTTTTCTAGCTTTATTTGTCCCAGGATATGAAAAAGACAAAGTAATATCTTTTATTAGATCAAGTTCTGTTGCGAAAGAGACAAGCTTTTGAGTTGGAGAGTTGTTTTTTCAGGACAATTTATGGACAATTTCCAGCACAGGTCTTAAAACAGAGTTAGTAATTGATCTAAAATATATGCAGCCAATCCTCCCTCTCCTCTGCTTCACCTCTCACATTAAGCTGTATCTGTGTTGTAGGGAACTCTTCTCATCCATACCACACATTCTTAAAAATGCTGCTTTGGCTGTTAAACTCTTTGTGATTCTTACACTCTTTTGATTTTATTCTATGACTTATTAATTCAGCACCTTGAACTATAATTCAGATGCAGGGACTGAGCTTAATAAATATGATCAGGCATATGCATTAAGATCCAGATTTGGTCAGCTATCCCTGTCCAGCAAAGCACTTACTTAATCCTTATATTTAGGCAAGTGCTTAAATGCTTTGCTGAATTGGGGCCTAAACAGAGAGTGTCTCTCGCTCTTTAAAGAACAGACACTCTAGTTTGCAGTTATACTAGAGAGGTCATGGAATTTGGCCCAGTCTGTTACAAAATTGTTTTCCAGATTAACAAAACCTTTTGGAAGAGGCAAGTCTTGCTAAAAACAAGCTACAGAAAATTTTCATTGAGCTAAAATGGCTTTATCAACCACTGGAATGGAAAGTAATTTACCTTGATCACATAGGCTGCCAAAATTATTACCCAAAACTTTTCAAGAACCCCCTTTGAGAACAATTTTAGAATCATAGGGAGCTTTGCATTGTGGATGGACCTGAAATGGGCATGAAGACAACTTTTTCCCCATGTAGAGCACTTGAACTGCTGCTGTCAATATTCTTATGGATAAATACTTGTTCTGTGAATGAATAGAGAACTCCAGTCTTCAGGGCTGGCACTCCAACACCTTTCCTGAGCGCTGACATTCATTAAAAAAATTAAAAAAGGAGTTAGTCAATGATTTTCTGCTATAAATTCCTTTGCATTCAGGAGAGTGGAGGAAAGCTATTTAAAAGAACTTTGCTGTGCTGTTGATTACTTGTTGCTCTTATTGGTTGGCTGTTAATTGAATGTGTTGTTTATTTTTATTAACACCCCTAGAAACCTTTTGGGAATATCAAGTGTCACAGAGTGATAAAGTTAATATTTACAGTATCCTTAAAACAGGGGAGGGTTGCTTATTTACTATGGATCTAAATTAAAGTTTGGGAAAATATAAAATCGTATGATATAGACAGATTATATTCTGTTCTGCATCCCAGGTGCTAGTTGTTTTTCACTAATGAAAGGGGAAATTACAAGAGAAAAGTTCCTATTTTGTAATTAAACATTCAGTTTACAGGAAGAGAGGGCCTATATAATGCATGTCTTCACTGTGTTTATTCTTGCCTGCATCGGAGGTGGTGATGGATTTTAAAAAAAAGTTTGTGAAATGATTTCATGCTAAGTGTTAGATTACAAAATCAATGGGAAAGTGTTAGCGGTGCTCCAGTCAAAATTTTTATTTTGAATATGTACTTGAAAATAATTGCCAGGTAGCTTTGGAGGCAGATGGTTTCTCATCCTCTGTGATCCTCAGCGTTTTTACTGGCAACTCTGGTTTAAATGGCATGAATATGATTATTTAATTATAGTTTGCGGTTTTAATTTATTTTCTTAATTCTCTGAGTCCACTAAAGTAAATTACAAGATTCCCATTGATTTAGTTTTTGTATTAGCTCTAAAAATATCTTCTGAATTCAAGACCTCTATTAATGTTTGACTGTGATAGGAATATGAATGATACAATCAAGCAACTATTAAGTCTTGTTTATTTCCTTCAGAAATAACTTTCCAGATCAATATTTCCCTGTTCATGCTTTCTTCCTTAATTGTGGAGTTGTTTGGTGGTGGAAGTGCGTAAATGACTATTTGTGGAAAACAGTAGAAGCTGTTGAAGAAAAATAGCAAGCATTAAAGTGCCTTTATTTTTTAAACATTAGTAGAGTAATGTGTCTGTTTTCATTAACAGTAATATTTGTATTATTGTAATGTATGCTAACTGGATATCTTCTAATACCCATTTTTAATAACATTTGATGTCATTTAGTGTTTTATTTAAAGATTGGCTAGATTCTTATTGGTTCACTTTGGGTGTCTATCTGACAGTGCTGGGACTTTGTGAAGCTGCTATCTATTTTTATTTCCTTACAAAGATAGGCAGATTGAAATATGGCCAATTTTTCTGCAGTTTCTGTGTTTTCACATTTATAGATGTCATGATAATGAGAGAGAAATAAATGCTTGGCAATAACTTGAGACAGGATACATTCTTTTAGCAATACCACACTAATTTTTAAGGCATAACATTTTTTTCAGCTGTTCTAGGAATGCGTTTAACTGGTGTTTTCTAGTTTTTCTATCCTATTTACATTATATCATGTATACTTTTTTGCCTTGGATGAATGGATTACAACTGGTCATGAGAAAACAGAAAATACACGCTTGGTTACTTTCTGTATATTAAAGTCATTAAAAGGGCATGGTTCTTGGGGTTCATAGTAAAAATTAAGATATGTGTTATTCCAAAATGCAGCGCCGTCTACATTCACAATGATACTACTTTTGTTAAATTTAACAGTAGGAAAACAATTTCCAACATACTGTTTGACATAATACATGCAAAACTTCGTGTCATCTCAATAGGAATATAAATGTTTACGGGATTAGGACCAGGTTAGTCCACGTGTAGACCCTTATCCTGCAATTTATGTGCAAAAAGTGGATCCCTGCAACCATATAGAGCTGCTGTTTTTTAATCAGGACTTAAAAAAATGTTAGCCCTGTGGAGTAGGGATTATATCACTTTATGTTTGTATGGAGCAGAGCTCATCATGCTACTGGCACTCAATTAAAAATGTAATACAGTATCAGTATAATTTAAAAAAATGCTTCCTGTACATTGTGAATGTTTTACTCTTTTTTTGATTATTGCCTATTTTGCTTGCCATTATCACTTTTATCATATTAAGCTGTCTGGAATGCTTGTCTGGCTTTATTAATATTTGTTAGCTGGCATTGATTAAAAAGTTGCTTATTTTTGTTTTATCAGATTTAGGACTGTTAAAATTGGATTTGCAGCCTTTAAAATACCAAATAATTTGATATGATTCTGTTTTTAGACATCTCTAGCCACACGTTTTGCCCAAGAAGCTTTTGGGAAACAGTACAAACAGACTGTTGGACTGGACTTCTTTTTGAAAAGAATAACATTACCAGGTAAGAGACTAAAAAGACTTAAAATTGAATAGTTAAACTTGCAGAGACAAGGTCCTGAGAATGAAATACATAAAGTAAATTAGTGTTTTTCATGCAAATGTTTTTAAGCAGGACAGATCATTTGGCTATTGAGGGTTGTTTCAGATTTCTTATGCAGACTTCAAGTGAAAAAGGATTATGTATATACAGTTTATTTCTTTAAAGATAAAACATTAAGTTATTTTTCTAGAGCCATTATTAGCTATATTTTTAAAAAATACTACTTTTTTGGGATACCTATTAAGACTAACTCCTTCAAGTGCATAGTGAAATACACAACATCAATAAAATATAATTATGTATAACTAAAAATATCTTTGCCTTTTGAAATAAATCTAATTTTTTAGATAAAATACACTGAACTTGTATTTGGGTTGTGGGGGAGAAGTATAATGTACCTATGGAATTGCTGTGCTCTAATATGTGAATGCTGTTTTATGCAAGGCAGCATGAAATTGCTGGCATTTAATAGACCACTAAAATTTAAGGTCCCTCGGCACTCATAAAAATACAGTTTGAGCATTCAAGATGTTTCAGTTCACGACGGCAAAGAAACTATTTAGATGCCAGTTGCACACACTGCATGGAAAATGCAAAGAAATAATAAAAAAGAATGGTTAGTGGTTAAAGTTTGTTTCTGAACAATTGGGGGTATAAAAAGAACCATTCATTCATTGTGTCCGTTCAATTTGTAAGCATAAAAGTATTCCATTAAAAACAATTTACCCTGGTGAGCTTAATAAATGAAAGCTGGAAAAAGCACTTTTAAGTATTAAATTGCAGTCAGGTATGATATAGTTGATACAAGTTCCATCTTTATATTGGTAACATACAAGTAGCAAAGTGGAAATGAAATCTGAAGTCTTCTAGGAAAATATGCAGTTTTCTGAATGCTATGTAACAAAAATTATATTGCCAATAATTTCCAAATATTGTGATAATATTTACTAAGTGATAGAGAATGTGGCAATATAAAAAATAATCCTATCCTTCAAGATTATTTTATTGGTTGTTTTCACTGTTACACTTTTGTGTATGACTTGACTCAGATTTTTAACTCTGTGTGCTTATTCTCTGTCAAATGATAGAGTAATTTTTTATTGTCCTGCCTGCTCTTCTAAATACAAATATGCAGAATACTTACAGCAGCACTTGTAAATGGAATGTGTACGCAAATCATTCAGCGTGCATGCTGAGAACTTGTACTTTTTCAAGGCTTTTTCCAGCTGTTAAGCATACAGAAGCTATTAATACATTATTGGGTTTCTAAATATTCTTTTTGGTTGGAAAACTTGGAGAAGTATCAACCTTTTGTCCCTTTTCATAATTGTTTTCTTCCATAATTATTTTGTTTTAAAATAAACGTGTAGGTGTAAATCACACCCAAATATATAGAATAGCGACTAGTTGTGTATATTTTCTTATTTCTGTGTTTATAAAATAAAAATAAATTTTATATCAGCAGGGAGGCATTTTTACCTTTGTTTCTCACTGTATTCCTCTGTCTTTAGAGTGATAAATTTGTATGAAAGTCAGATTTGGGGGGGGAGGAGGGGACTTTTAAAGTTCAAAAAGTAACTATGGAATGGACTTCCTCAGTAGCTGGATTCCCTTAATTTATTGATTGAAAAAAATAGTTTTGCTTATGCACAGTTATTAATATTTCTCTAAAGATGAATTAATATAACTAGACAAAATATGCAACTATCACTGGAAAAACATGCAGTGGTTTATATCTGTGGTAGAACAGGTAGATAATTAACTTCAGAATTACTTATGTTTTGCTTTTAAATACAAGCAGATTTTTAAAAAATTGAAATTATAGTTTTAAAGCAAAACAGAAATTTGTACTTTTCTACCCTATAAATATATTAGGGTTTATTTAAAAAACAAATAGTAATTTAATATTAGTAGATATAAAGGAAATGTTTTGGAATGTTGTGGATATGCACTTATATTGTTATACTTTTTTAGTAACCGATATCCTTTTACAGTGAGAAGTGGACTAACATTTTATCAGTTGATGACTCAAACAAAATAACAATTTAATACACATTGCAAGTATTTTTGATTAGTTTAATTGTTGACAGTATGATTTTTAGTGTTCAGCTACTCAAATTATCTCAGTGAAATTCTTTCCAGGTAATTACTTTCCAAATACTGATTGATTTCAGTGTATTTCATGATCTAATATGTTGTAAAGTCTGGATGCAAGTGCTCTGTAGATTTTACAGCTTAAAATAGCGTATCTGCTGGCCAGAGGTGCTGCTGATGGCGCTTCTTAAGAAACATAGTCAAAATACTTTCAGGAAGATTGTGGGTGCAGTCCAGTAAACAGGATTCTACTGTGAAAAGGATTTTTTAAGACTTGAGCACAAGAAGTGGGCAGACATGTGTTTTTTAGTTTCATCATGACTGTGTATAGCACTTTAAATAAGGTTAACCAATGCACCAAGCACACCTTTTATAAAGGTCACGGTTGAATCTTCCTAGTGGCTTCATTTCAGACCAAAACTAACCTATATTCTTTATAATATATTGTCTCATTTACTCATTTTTTGAATCCCATGTATGCCATTTTCTACAAAATGTGTGTAAAACAAATGAATTAACAGAGAACCCTCCCCTTGAATTTTCTTTTTTGTCATCAGTGGACATTCTGGAGTTTCACTGGAATTCTTCAGCTATAATTGTTTACTTGTACATTAAATTTGTTGCATAGAGAAAGCATGCTACAGCTGTAAGAAGTGAGCTGTTGACGTTTTTCTTTATTATTTAACTTTATTATTGCCACTCATGTTAATAAACATTTCCTTTTTAAATTGGTCAGTAGATACAACTTAAAATGTATTCTATGACAAAAGTAAAATTAAATTTTGTTTCTATAGCTAATATTTGAATTTTAAATAGTCATATTGTTCAGATTTTTTTTCTACTGTCATAGCTATGCTAAAAAGTTGACCACAAAATAGAAACATGGAACAATCTGGCAGAAAACATATGAAGCAGTATAGGGTTAATACTAACTTATCACTCAAAATGATCAGTTTGAATTTCAGCAGTTGCTCTAGTTTAATTTAAGCCAGGAGTCACCGTAACATGAATGAGACAATCAAGCTTTATTTAGATAAACTAGCTTTTTTATTTTCTATTATATTAATAGAAGGGAAAAACTTTGTAATTTTTTAAGCTGGTAAGAGACCTAGATCATTTAGTCTGAGCTCACAAGCCAGTAACCCCTGTATTGAGCCCAATAACTTGTTTGGCTCCAACACTGGATAATAATCAATTTGGAAACTTTTTAACATAAAATTATTATTTTTAAATAAGGAGATTTTAGATATTGTATTGTTTTTAATGCATTTTCCCAAATATCTAGCATGAATGAAATGGCAAATTGGTAGTAGAATGAATACAACCAAGCTAGATATAGGACACTGTAGCATGGCTAGTTTGGGGGGCTTTCAAGTGTGTTTAGTTTGATTACCTACTGAAGAAGCATAGTTGCTTCCTAGTGCTGATTCATTAGTTTGTTTATGCTGCACATATGTTATGCAAGACTTATTTTTGTGTTATCTGTGATGACTATAGATTTATGTTCTAAGCTTTAAAAGCATCACTTAATAGTTGGTCAATGCGTTATGAAAAATTATACATTTCTTATTCAGATGAAATGTTACGTGTGAGTACTGAACATAAAGAAGCATTTCCATAAATATTCTTTGTTTTTAAAAAGGGATTTCATAATTATCAAAATAAATTAATATGTAAAGCTTGTTTTTAGTAAGCAACATGAGATTCATATACTGGATATCTGAAACATACATACCAGTTCTAAAAAAAAATTGGCTTTAAAAGTCTGAACAAAGTGAAACAAGATGTGTTATAAAAAAGTAATTGTTACACTTTGTAGCTCAAGCACAATATATCCAAGTATATATTTATCTACTGTTGCAAAGCACTAGAATAGAATAGATTTTCATTGATAAATGGGGTATTCATTTGTGTAGCTCATTTAATGCTGAAGGAAGTTTTTCTTGTAAATGCTCTGCTACTTTATGGGTGAATGGATAATATTTTGCTCAAGAACATCAAGATTTTAATATAATAATAAAAACCTAATTTAAAACTCTGTCTGTAGCACATAGTATTTTCTCTTTCCACTCTCAGGACCACCTACACCACTATTGGTATAAGTTAAGAAATTGTACATTTAAGTTTTATGACTTATGTGGAATTTGTAACTTTATAACATTTTTGTCTAGAAATAAAAATTAATTGGAAGTTATATTTTTATAAGTAAAAGTATTATTAATATATGAAGTGTAGTTTGGTGAAAATTTGCATTGAACTTTACTGTACTTTACTTTGCATTGAATCTTATGCTTACTGACATCCGTTTTGTTTTGTAGAAGTTGTCATCAGTGAACCATTAGGTTCTTTAGTGCACTGGATTTAACAACTATACAAGTGATTTAATTTGGCAGGTCTACATTGACTGTAGATGATTGTTTAACTTTCTATCATTCGTTTTGGTATTTATAATTTTAGGGTGTTGTGTGTGTGTGTGTGTGTGTGTGTGTGTGTGTAAGATGGTAAAATAACTGCTTTCTACAATATGCAATAATACATTCAAAACTGAATTTAAAGATGGTTTATTCATTTGTTTAAAAAAATAAAAAGAGGCTGAGAATTTGTAAGCTAAGGTTTATGGCTGAGTGTCTTTTTGGAGGTGGCAGGGCAGAGAAGAAAGTATTTTGTACTCTGAAAATAGAGTTGTGTTAGCATTTCCATTATAATCACTTAACTGTACAGTAGTTTTGGAAACACTTCTACCAGATCCATGTCTTGCAGTTTTAAATGCTTAAAATAGTTGAACAAGTACTCTGGAGATTAAATATGCGGTCAGATCAATATTACTAGCAATAAAGGACTATGCAACAATTGTAAAATATAGGTTTTTTTCTTAAGCTTCTTTTCAGATTGCTTAACTGAAATACATTAATAAACTCTGACTTAGAAAAACTGTATCTTATATTATCCCAGTTCTTTTCTTTTGAAGAACATTTTACAGTGAGATGTGGCTCATATCTAGCTATGTTTTCCCTTGATCTTAAGGAATATAAATTAATAGGAATTAACTTTTTTCCAGTTGATATGTTCATTTCTGTATTTTGGTGTGAGCAAATATTTATTTGCAAGAAAACATTTGTAAAAAGTATTTACTAATATGCCGGTATTGTATCAACTGATTTAATGTTACATTTTTAGTTTAGTTGAATTTAACTTCATCAAATTAGTGTCTTCAAAGAAATCAGCTTCTGCATGTTTTTTGTTTTTCAGGAAATTTGAATGTTACTCTTCAAGTGTGGGATATAGGGGGGCAAACAATAGGAGGCAAGATGTTGGATAAATATATCTATGGAGCTCAGGTATAGTAAAACAGTTATTAACTTTGCTTTCCTAATCATATTTTTTCAGGAAATGTTTTAGGTAACAAAATTAAACATCTGCTTAATTTAAAATTTATTTTAGGATTGACTTATGTGCACGTTTTATTTTTGGCTATCATGATGTTTTCGCTGGCTTAAAAAAGCAGCAAAGGTGCTAGTTTGTAGATCCCTAACAAGTCTAAAAAACAGATGTATGTTTCCATGCATTGTGGCTTGGACTGAGAAAAGAATCACAGTAAAGGCTGTTTGGGTATCCACATGGAAGGTAGATATACTGACTACTTTGAGAGCAGATACCCCCTGGGGAGGAAAATAGGAGGAGGAAATTAAGAGCAATCCTACACCATTATACAAGCAAGTAGGGTTATAAAAGGGCAAACAAAAGGAGGTAGCCACATAAATAAATATTTTTTACAGAACTTGAATACAGTGAATGTTAATTTTGCTTCAAAAGCTAATGAAGCAACTTTAAGTGACTGCTAGGACTAAAGAAAATATTGCAACAGCATATAGATGTTTGTGATGCAGTTTTGGAATGATGTGCACATGATTTTATCTTTGGCTTAATAACACCAGACCAATTACTGTATTGCAATAAGAACAACAGGCAATGTATGTGATAAAATGTATTGTTTTAATGTATTTTTTTCTGTTTGCTTCTATTTGCTGCTCTCTACTTTCACAGTAAAGGGTTGTATATGGTTCTTAGAACATGTACAAGAGCAGAAGTGTGGCATCACATGAATAAGTATAGTGCAAGGGCTGCTAAATAAAGTAGCTCTATGATTTGCAAATTGATAGGGTAAAAAAAAATCTGATCTCCTCGTTGACTTAAAATTTAGTCAGTTTTTTTTTAACTAAGTACTTGTAAGTATTACATCTGACTCTGAGCCAGCCTACTAATGTCTGTGGTTGTACAACCATGCATATCTTTTTTTTTTTTTTTTTTTTAAGATTTTTCTCTCTACTATGAAAAACAGACCAACCAACAGGTGAAATTGACTGTAATGAAATAAGGAAATAGTAAACAAATTTGAAAGGAGGGAGTAAGACTCACACTTATTCTTTTATTGCTCTCACTGATAATTTTAGGAGTTTCTTGTAGCAACAATAGGTCCAAGAGTTCAGACTAAAGTGTGATTTTTTTTTTTTTTTTTTTTTTTTTTTAATAAAGTAGAGGGTGTTTCTTTAATCATAGTAATCTGTAATTTAGCAGCATTTATTGATGTGGTAACACTTCCATTAAAATAAGTAAGGAATGCAAGAATTACTTTTATTTGATAACTCTACATGCAACTTTCTAATTAGTGGCAATTTTCTTCTCCATCATTCTAGTAAGTGTTACTCCAAGATGCCTGTCTTCTCAGGGCTGGTCTGAAAACTTAGCATTAGTTTCCCAAACAGCCTTCTCTGAAGAGCAGATGAGACAGCATGGATCATACTGGAAGAAGCTGTAGTCTGTTCTCTTCGAGACTAAAAGTTGCTTCTGTGTAGGAAATCTTAAGATTTACTGGAAATGAAAAAGGGGCGGTCTAAATAGGTCACTATGTGGAATTTAAATGGAAGAATCCTAGAATAAATGCATAGAAAAATTCTTGGGTACAGCCAATATATTGAAGTACAAAGAAAGGCAGTAGGTAGGCAGAGCATATAGCTGCATACACCTGCAGTCCAGAACACAGCAGGCAGTTAAAATTGTTGGTGTAACTCATCTTGTAATCTACAGCTATAAGAAGTCACCTTAATTCAGATCCAAAACAAAATGCTCTTTAGAGATACGATCAGACTGTTCAGAGAGATGAAAGAATCCATTTGCACTCTGACTTGATTTGTTTTTTTCCTAAACAGGTTTTTGTACTTTGATAACTTGCTATGAGATACAGTGGAAGTCTAACTTAAAAATGCAAATGGGAATACTGTATCCTGATCAGTTGCTTTATTTGGACCTGTGTGTATATATTGGAATTAAGTAATGTGAATTGAATATTAAGATTACAGACCTGTAATCTGAAATAGAGAAAATTATTCCATCATTGAATAATGGCATTGGTCATTATAGTAAACCAAAGCTATATATTTAATTAAGATAAATATATGATGATATTCTTGATACAGAAATTTCTTAAAGAATTATTACTTTCTTAGTCTTTTGAAATATGACACTGTTCCAGTCTCCATTTAATAGAGGCACAGTAACAAAAGTATTTAAGTGCCTAAGAGTGCAGATAGACGTCTAGTAAAATTGACAGAAGTATATAAACAGATTAAATGCCAACATTATTTTTTAGCAATTGATTTAAATGCTTAAATTACCAATGTGGTCTTCAAAAGGTGGCCCTTAATTATTTTAATCTTTCCTCAAAAGTCATCCCCTCCACATCCAATCTCTTTTTTATGCATGAGTTCACAAATCCCAGATCATTAGGCATCAGATTTACAAAGGTATTTATTCATTTAAAGATGCACATAGGCATCCAATGAGATTTACAAGGCATCTATCTGCATCGTTAGGTGCCTAAATAACTTTGTAAATTTGGGCCTTAGTACCTTGTTATCTGTGAAACGAATGTATGACATAAGCAATCATATAGATATTTACACTGTATCTAGAATATTACATTAAGAGCCTATTAAGTATGCAAAAGGCAATTTCAGATCTTAAAGCAGATAATGTCATGTGTTATTTCCATAGAACTAATTAAGTACTGATAGTTTTCTTTTTGACTGAAAATTGAAGACGTGCTCCCAACCCAAATAATTTAACTATCTAGGGTTCTGATTCTGCAGCTTCTTGCACATGACTAAACTGTTGTGCTTGTTCAAGTCAAATTGACTCCCGTGTGGGTGCAGAGATCTACCTGCAGGCATAATTTTGCTTAATTGGGGCCTATGGCAGATACAGATTCCATACAAGTAATTGTAAACAATATATCCTGTACCTATATCATCTTATTATGTGATCTGGTCAGATGACAGGAAGGTATGATTAGCATTTGGATGAGGGACATCCAAAAAACTTCAGGTGCTACAGAAAATGGCATTAGTGGCTCCCTTCTTTGAGTCAGAATAGAATCAACTCTTCAGGATGGAGCTTTGGGTTATGGTATGGTTAGATTTGCCATCTTGTGGCAGTGGCATAAAACAGAACTACTGGCTTTGTGTCACTTTTTGTAGTGAGAGCGGTGTTAACCCTGGTGTTTCCAGCTTTGTCTACACTTTCACCATTAAAGTGCAGTCGCAGTAGTGCTTTAAGGCAATAGGGTGGTCATGGCATCAGCACTTGGGGGAGAGCTCTCCCAGCTCTTTAGGAAAACTTCCTTCACGAGGGGAGTAGTTCTAGTGCTTGAAACCTGTCTACACTGGCAGATTATTGCACTGAAATGTACGTGTGTGTGTGTGTGTGTGTGTCTGTCTGTCCATTTCTGAATGAGAGATTCAGCACAGTAACTTGCCCGTATAGAAAAGCCTTCAGTTTATCCATCTTATTTCCCATGTGTTTTCATCTGAATAAGTTTGCAATTTACTTCCCCTCTTAAAAATTGTAGTGTTGCTACTCAGAATGATGAAATACCACCTCAAAGGTGGCTGAATTTCATTAGTGACTAAAATAATTCTAGCCAACAGGTCCCAAAGCTGTTTACTTTCTGAATAAAAAATGCTAAGTAAATATTTAAAAGCCAGGTTTAAGCAACCTTTAAAAGCTTACTTAGATTTTTGTTTAATGTATTATTGTGATAATTATTAGTATAAGAAACTTTTTCCCATTGTTAACATAGACATATAAACTTATTAGAGCTTACAAAAGAAGATGCAAATAGATAAAGGTTATTAGCTTAGGATAATTGGCTGCTTTTTGTACTTTTGTGAGTTATGTACTTTGCAGCTAGTCCTTAGTGAGAATGATCTGTGATGTGAACACGGAGAGGTAGCCGTGTTAGTCTGGATCTGCAAAAGCAACAAGGAGTCCTGTAGCACCTATTGCATTGCTCCAATACATCTGTTAGTCTATAAGGTGCTACAGGACTCCCTGTCACTTTCACATCACAGAGTTGCCACTGTTAGCAGCCTTTCTGTCAGTCTCTCCAGAGACGCTGATGATTAATAGAGATAGACAGTGAACTGTCTTCGTACTTGAGAACATGGTACTCTCTGCATGTTTGTAAAAGGAAGTAGCCACTTATTGAGCATTTCTGTTCTGTGGCTAGAAGAGTTCAGTGTCTATTACTTTTAATCTGTGACTTTTTTCATGATCATTACATTTAATTTATAATTTTCAAATTAAAGTTTATTCAGCATTTGCATAATCACATCAATCATTTGGATAGGATGACAACATGATAAACATTGATAATAAAAATTTTAAAACTAAAAGTACCGCATTAATAAGTTCTTTAATCCTTTTAATATACTACTGTTATAATATTGATACTTCTTAAATGTTGGCTTTTCTAGTGATAAATTATGCATTCTGTTTAATACCCTCAGGAAATGTTCAAAATAGCATATCTTCCATTTAGGCTATGAATATGTTTTAGACCCACTCCCATCTCTGAGCTATAAAACTACAGCCCCTATCCATATCTCTAGTGTAAAATATCCTTCAGAGCAGGCATATGCTACTTCATAAATTAGCTTGTTAATAGAATAAGAGTAGTGCAGACCATATTTTCTCTAGAGAGCAGCAAATCACTTCTGCAGTACACTCAGTTTCCAGAGGAGTATTTTTGCAAATATTCTACAATTCAGAAACAAGAAGCACTGACATGTAAAGTAAAATAGGCATAAAGTCTCCATTGCCAAAGTATTGGTATGCAAGCAAGGAATATTTGTTGGAGACTAGAGAATTCACATCGTGGTATCCTCCAACAGTGCTCAGGTTTCTTTCTTTCTCATTGTGGGGAAATGTGCTATTTTTTAAAATTGTTTTTCTTTCTACATTTTTTATCCCTTAAAAATGCCTCATGTCTAAGTGTATTTCATGTGTATGTTGGGGAAATTACAATGATTGAATCTGCTCACTCTGTACTTAAAGCATTGTAAGCTTACTGAATTTGTAAAGAAAATGAAGGTTGGATCTTTGATTTCAGTAGAAAACAGAAATAAATCTTAAGTTGTGACCAGCAGCTCCATAATTGTAATGTTCCCAATCAGTTGTTGGTAGAGTATTGTGTTTTTATTGGGGCAAAAACAAAGATTACAGATTAGTTTTTAGTGTCAAGGCCCTAAAGTAGCCTGTCTTTGTCATCTAGTTCATCCCTGCCAGCCTACCTTTCAAATAATAGTAACAAAATAGAAAATCTGGGTAAGCCATTGTTGCAGTAAATCCAATTCTGTCTTCCAATACCAGACATCAATTTGTGGATATCCTGGGTTGCAACCAAAGTAAGCACCAAGAAACGAAAGGCGATAGTAAGTTCAGACATTAGCATTTGCTTCTGTTGTTTAATTAAGAAGAGGGTGGGGGGCTTATTATACTGACAGTGATCTTACAGTTCATGCATAAGGGATAACCTGGAAAGAAGTCTAGAGATTGGAGTGGAAGAAAGAGAAACAGCAGAAAGAGGTCAGTCTTGTTGGAGAGGAATGGGTGTGAGTGCGGGTGTAGGCAGGGGTGGCAGAATTGTGAAGGATCTTTGGGACAAACACCAAGAGTTTAAACTTGTTGTGTGGGACAACCTTTGTAGGGATTCAAAGAGAGGGAATGAGTGAGGAAATTACATAATTTTTAAGGCAGTGTTGGAAATGGGCTAGAAGCTGATAGTAAGGACACTGGGGAACTACAGTTGCTAACACTCACTTAGACTAAGTCTACACTGCAGGCTTCTTGCGCAAGAACTGTTTTACGCAAGAGTTCTTGCGCAAAAGGTCTTGTGCACGAGCACGTCCACACTGCCATGTGCTTTTGCACAGGAGATGTGCTTTTGTGCAAGAGCGTCCATGGCAGTGTGGATGCTCTCTTGTGGAAGAAAGCTCTGATGGCCATTTTAGCCATAGAGGTTTCTTGTGCAAGAAACCCCTGTTGCCCGTCCACACTGTCTCGTGGGGAGAGGAATAACTCTTGCTCAAGAAGCCCTCTGTTCTGACGCTTTACTCTAAAATTTACTTGTGAAAGAATGCATGTGCAGTGTAGACGCTCTGCAAGTTTTTACGCTGTTCTTGTGCAAGAAGCCTTCAGTGTAGCCATAGCCTTAGAGTTTCTTCCATGAAAACTCTGTGGTGGAGTTCATTTTCTCCTAAAGGGGAGAAGATGCTATTGTTTGTCTGGAAGCCCTTCAGAAGCACATTGTTAGTCTGAAGAGAGATCAGAGATAAACAGCCCATCAGGAGAGGTTTAACCATTTAAAAATGTTACCCTGCATTAGTTCCTACTGTGTAACTGATGTTAAAAGTTAGGAAAGTAGCTTTACTATATTCATGTTACTTCTCTTCTGCACTATGGGATATTTAGTTGGCTGGAACAATGGGAGAGAAGGGTAAAGGAGTCAATAACTGAAAAGCAAATGAAGGTGAGAGCTGATTATGGAATCCCTGGGGAAAAAAAGATGAGACAGCTTAGGCTAAAGAGTGCAGGAAAGTCAGGGATGTCAAAGCAAAATGCAGGACAATGTAACACTTTAAAGACTAACAAGATGGTTTATTAGATGATGAGCTTTCGTGGGCCAGACCCACTTCCTCAGATCAAATAGTGGAAGAAAATAGGGATGTCAAAGGACTTTTGCTACAAAGTAATGGACTTCACGGGAATAGGGTTGCCAGATGTCTCCCAAAAAATACCGGACACCTGGTATTTTTTGGTCGACCAAAAAAAAAGGGGGGGAGGGAATGCGGGATAAGCAGCGATCGCAGCCCCGCCTCCCAGCTGGGACTTCCCACCTGATAGTGCTCTGGGCACTTCAGAAGGATGTCAAAGGACTTTTGCTACAAAGTAATGGACTTCACGGGAATAGGGTTGCCAGATGTCTCCCAAAAAATACCGGACACCTGGTATTTTTTGGTCGACCAAAAAAAAAGGGGGGGAGGGAATGCGGGATAAGCAGCGATCGCAGCCCCGCCTCCCAGCTGGGACTTCCCACCTGATAGTGCTCTGGGCACTTCAGAAGCCTTGTGGAGACAGGGGGGGTGGCTGGGGGCATTTCTGAACACGCCCCCCCCCTCCCAGCCGCTCCCCCCGCCCACGCCAGGCTTCCTTCTGGTGCGCAGCCGGAAAAATCAGAGAATACCAGACATTGCACATGTCCGGTATTCTCTGATTTTTTTATTTTTTTTTAACTGGATGAAGAAAGCAAATACCAGACTCTTCGGTAGAATACCGGACACCTGGCAACCCTGGGAAACCTGATTAATATCTTTCTTTTGAATATTTCTCAATTAAGACATGACCTAAAGTCCATAGATATGAATGTGAGTCTGTCCATAGATTTATGCTGAGCTTTCGATCAGGCCCTTAGGCAGGGTTGACAGGTGTCCGGTATTCTACTAGACAGTCCGGTATTTATGCTCTTTGGTTAAAAAAAAAAATCAGAGAATACCGGACATGTGCAATGTCTGGTATTCTCTGATTTTTCCGGCTGCGCACCAGAAGGAAGCCTGGCGTGGGCGGGGGGAGCGGCTGGAAGGCGGGGCCATGATTGGCGCTAGGAGCCTGTGATTGCGCAGAAGCCTGGCGGGGGCAGGGGGAGTGGGAGACCATCTGGCAATCCTACCCTTAGGGTTTTGTTAGAAGCGTGCCAATATTACTTTCTTGTCTTCTACAACAGTAAAAAAAAGGATCTGTTTTTTTTCCTTAGCTGGGAGTCTAGAAGTAGCAGGCAGGCTATAAAAAATATGTGATTCACAATTAAAAAAAAAAATCAAATCTGGAAACCGGTGGTGAAAACTTGATAAGTAGCAGCTGTTTTACAATATTAACTTTCACTTTGAAAAGCTTTTGAATTTTTTAAAATAAATGTAAATATTAGACACTGATTTTCTACTATGGGTAGTGTACTATTTGCTGTTTTTCTGTACTAACTTTCCATTGTGTTTCTCTACCTACGATACAATTAATTTCTGAATAATAAAGTTTTGTGTACTACTGTGTTTTGGTTATCTCATAAAATATTTATTTAATGGAATCCTAACTGTTCAGTATGGATTGCAATAACAGTATATTTACTATTAATAGCCTCTCAGTTTTTGAAGAATCTCAAAACATAAATATAATACAAATTTAATAATAACTTACTACAATGAATTGTCATTGTATAATGTTTCAAATATTTTTTTCCCCTCAGGGTGTCCTTTTGGTATATGACATTACCAATTACCAGAGCTTTGAAAATTTAGAAGACTGGTATAATATGGTAAAGAAAGCAAATGAAGAATCAGAAATTCAGCCACTTGTGGCTTTGGTGGGCAATAAAAGTAAGTTGTTAATGCAAAAATGCTAGTTAACTGAAGTACTTCAGCTGCTTGTTTAATATAGAGAAATATCATAAAACACATCTTTAGTTACAATGGAACAACAAGTATGTTTCATGTGTTAGGTCTTTCTAAATTCTGTATTGTAAAATTGACTGTTTTTCTTTGCTAGGTGAAAAACATTTCCTAAAAGAATGTACTTCCATAATTTAAAAGCATGGAATCAAGCTTTACATGTAAAATAAGAATTTTTTTTCTGCAGCATTTTTATTTTCTTTCATACCATCTATAATTTAGAGGTGTATTATTCTCCACTGTTCTGTTGGTATTTTTTTTTTGCCATAAACTATGTACTGATGATAAAAAAGGGGTTTGTGCTTTTCTTACTCTGAAACATTAAAACTTTTCTTAAGAAATTATTTTGCATTCATAAATTCTAGTAGCTGATCTGGAGGTGTGAATTCCAAGAGAGGAGAAGGTGCTTTTGTAGTTAGCAAGCCATCTTTAACAAAGACTGTGAATGGTTTGCTAACTACAAAAACAGCTTCTCCTCTCTTGGAATTCACACCTCCAGATCAGCTACTAGAATTTATGAATGCAAAATAATTTCTTAAGAAAAGTTTTAATGTTTCAGAGTAAGAAAAGCACAAACCCCTTTTTTATCATCAGTACATAGTTTATGGCAAAAAAAAAATACCAACAGAACAGTGGATTTTAAACTGTTACATGCAACCTAAAGTAAAGTTGAGCATATACTTTCATTCCTAATCATTAGCTCTAGAATTGCTACTGCAATGCTGTAACTATATTTCTGATGTTCATTGTGAAAGACTACCTTTGTTTTTCTGGGAAGAACATAGAGAAATGCATATCTGCAATATATAAATAGCACTTCTGAAAATATAACTGTGACGTAGTGGGGGGGGTAACCTGCTAACTCTCTGGCTGCTGTCTGTAGCGCCACCGAGCAGACAAGCGATGAGTCACTATGCAAAGAGGGTATCCCAACTGGTTTGGCCAGCTGACCCCCATGGAGAGGAACAAAGGAAGGTGGAATGCTGCCCTGGCTGGGGGGCAGGGCTGGAGGAGAGTGAGTTAGCTCCGGGCTGGAAAGCAGGGAAGAAGGAACTGGGGAGGGGGCTGGGATCCCCCCATCTCAAAGGGGGTACTGAGGCCTCTTAGCCCCAGTTCCTGTAACCAGATTACATCTGTGCTATGCTGTATCCTGGAGGAGCAATAAACCACCCTCAATTCTACTGGCTGGTGGATTCTGTTTGTGCCATTTCGGGGTGCAGGAGACGGGGGGACCCCAATGTGTCGTCAAAATAACCTAGTCTGTTGTGCTGTAGCACATCAGAGCCCATAATACAGATTCTGTTGAAATCCAAATTAAAAATATTTTTCATTGATTTATATTCTACCTAGAAATTGGACTTCATACCTGGAGTTGTGCAAAGCTTGTAAAATATCTATGAGAGGATACACATAAGTAATGTTGTTTTGCTGGAATGACACCATCCTAGACAGAAAATCAGACACTGATGATTTGCTGTATCAGTTAGAGGAGAGAGCTGTACCTCAGTTATCTAGCCTGAGTCAAATTCTTTAAAGTATTGGATCTCATTAAGTACAACTAAAAGTAGAATATGGTTTTATGGATCTCGGTGCATTTTTGAATAGTAGACTGATGTTGACCAAAAAAAGGGGTTGTAGTTAATAAATATATCAGCTAGAGGAGTTGAGTACCTTTTATCTGTTTTGGAGAGCCTCTAACATATATCTGTTCTTTGGCCAGCTGGTTATGAAGATAAAGCAAAATACAACTTTCTTGTGATCCTAAAGAGTGTGGGTGCGTCTAGACTGGCATGATTTGCCTCCTGTCTACACTGGCTGCGAGAATTTGCGCAAGAACACTGACTTTGTAATGTACAAAATCAGTGCTTCTTGCAGAAATACTTTGATGCTCCCGCCCAGGCATAAGCCCTCTTGCGCAAGAATACAAGCGCAAGAGGGCCAGTGTAGATAGGAATGTTAATTTCTTGCGCAAGAAAGCCCGATGGCTAGAATGGCCATCGGAGCTTTCTTGCGCAAGAGAGCATCTATACTGGGCACGGATGCTTTTGCGCAAAGGCACATGCCAGTATAGATGCTCTCTTGCGCAAATACTTTTAACGGAAAAACTTTTCGGTTAAAAGTATTTGTGCAAAATCTTGCCAATCTAGTTGCAGCCTGTATGTATAGTGCTCTTACAGAAATCTCTTTATGTATGGCATTTCTGCAGAAGATCGGAGCAGAGAACACTACATACATTAGTCATTCTTTTTGATCCAAGTACCTTAGTGGTATTAAAGCAAGACAAGAATGAAGCATTTAGAAATTCATTACTTTTCCAAATTTTACAACTGGAAGTGGAAATAAAATCATTCTTTTATCTCAATATGTCCTGAGCACTTTACTGTACTCATGCTCCTGTTGTGAGTAAAGCAGGCACTTAAGATCAATTCTCACAGGAGAGGTATAGTTTTGATGCCTATGTCTCACAGGGTTAAAGCTAACACCAATGATGACTACCAAGTGGTTCTAAATAAATGCATAACACTCAGAATGGCTCAGCTTCTGCAATCAGTAGAGTAGATGATGATAGGATACTGTGTTGGGAGCTGTGACCTATTTGGAACATACAGAGTCATAGATTTAAAGGCACAAAGGGAGCATTATGATAATCTTATCTGGCCTCCTGCATAATATAAGGCATATACTCTTATCCAATAATTTCTGTCTCAAGACCATAATTTGTTTGAGCTACAGCATATCCTTTTCACCTAAAGAACACGAGTAATGGAGAATAAACTACATCTCTTGGTAAATTGCTGCAATGACTAATTACTCTGAAATGAAAATTGCAAAAAATGCTGAGCACCAAGCACTTTCCATTCAAGTCCGTACTTTTGAAAATCAGGCTGCTATCTAGGTGACTAAATATTGACTTAAGAGCCCAATTTTAACCTTGATTTTTGAAAATTGTGCATGTATTTAAAGGTGGTGGTGCCCCTTTTAAGTATCTTAATGTTACTTTGCTTTAAACTCCCATTTCCCATATCATTCTACATACTGATGCCACCTGTGAAAGAACAGGGATTTTTTTTTATGTCCATTAATCTACTTGTGAAAGTGTTTAACTGAAATGGAGAAATAATTCTAATTTAGATAATTTAAAAAGTGTGGAAAAGCTGGTATCTTACGTCTACATTTCCCTCCTTCATTTTAAACTCTATACATGTGCACTATGGTGGTTGAAAATAATTTTTCCAAATAAATGCCATTTTCAAATGGTGCAAGTTACTGTCAAGTTGCATAGTATATTAATGTAATTGTATACTGTAAGCATCCTAGGACAGTGTTTCTCAACCTTTTTATAAAGTACCCCTTTAAAAAAAAAAGTACGCCCAATACCTACAGTTTTCAGACATACATTTTTTCTATCATTGCAACACATTTGTTTAAACAACTTAATCGTAGCTGAGTGGGCAATTAAATGTTTGGGTGTAAAGAGTACAAAAATAATAAAACGCTGTAAAACTTAAAACAAAAATTCAGTTTTTTCCAAATTTCAGTTGTGTTGACATACCCCCTAGATTTCTCTCGAGTACCCCTAAAATTGTACTATTGTTTGAGAAATAATGTCCTACGAGATGCATGGCATAGAAGAAGACCATTAGAAAAAACAACTCTTTACTAACAAATATACTAAGAAATTCTTCCGTATTTGTACTACAAAATGATTTGGAAGTGGCAAAAGTCATCTTTTGAAATGACAAAGTGGATGAGGCATTGTCTTCAATTGGACGTGTTTCTCTTGGTGACAGATGCTTTTGAGCCACATAGAGCTCTTCTTCAGGGAAAGGTATTTCAGAACCTCACAGCTACATGCAAGATGGAACAGATTGTTTAGCATAAGTGAATACAGTGAGTAATCCTGTGGCACTTGAGAGACTAACCAAAATACATAGAATCATGAGCTTTCGTGGGTAAAACCCACTTCATCTGATGAATTAGAATGCAAATAGCAGAAACCAAGATATCTATGTACTTGCAGGTGAGGCTCGTCATTGACCAGGCAAAGTCATTTCGCATAGATTACACTTATAGGAAAGTTCAAGAAATTAAATATATTTATTTTTTAATGTAATGTGCTTGCAAAAGGGAAGTAAAAGAAGAGTTTTAAATTTGTAGGAGTTCAACTTCAAACATTATTAATTTATTGAATAATTACCATACATAGTACATTTGAACCAGAAACTTGTAAAACTTCCATTACTTTTTCTGTAACTAATTTGAATTATTTTGTGATTTGTAACAGTAATATTTTTCTTTGAACTAAAATGACAGTTGAATAAGTGACTTGATTTTAATTTTGTTGGCAAATATTTTTATGAACTCTAATCATAATAGTCATGACTTTTTTCCAGTAAAAAACAAAAATAATTTAAATCTTTGACCCAGCATATTCTGGTTTAAAACGTAGTGCATTCAGCTAATTTAAGTGTCAGGATTGTGTATGTAAAATTTGGTATCTGTACGTAATCACAAAGTATGACTTTATTTTGCACAAAAAAAATGTGCGTGTGTAGGAGCTTTGTAATGTGCCAGCTAGTTAATGTGTTTGTTCAAGCCCAGGGCAATGGTGTCAAATCTGTAGATAAATTTCAGTTCTGCAGACTTTCTCTGTAATTTGTTAGTGAAATTTCTTTGTTGAAGAATGGCTACTTTTAAATCCATGATTGAGTGACCAGGCAGGTTAAAATGTTCCCCTATGGGTTAATGTGTTACCATTTCTGATGCCTGATTTGTGCTCATTTATCCTCTGTCTTAAAGACTGTCTGGTTTGGCCAATATAATGGCAGAGGGGCATTGCTAGCACTTGATGGCTTATATTACAATAGAGAATGTGCAGTTGTATGAGCCCATTAACACTTCTGCAGTCTTAAGACAAAAAGACTGTG